GCCGTGCCATCTCAGTCCTATTCATTAAACCTGTGGATCCGTTGATTGCTGAGTCTTTCAGGAACCTTCTGTGTAGATTTTTTAACCTGACAGTATCTCAACATTAGTTATTATATAGATCTACATGGAGATTTTGTCTTCAGGTATAAAAAAGGTCTCAGCAATTGCTACGATTTAGTGTCAAGTTCCAGCTTGAAACTGAAGGCGCTACTCTCAGTTGTGAATTACCTTCAGTTGATATTAAAAAAGGAAAAATAAATAAGATGCTACAGCTGGTAAATATGGCAAAGATAGCCAAATGATTCTGTATCTCTCAATGAAAACTGTACATACAGAAACTTAATTAACGTGTCTTTACATCTAGCCAGAAGCATATCACCTAGAATAGGTGATATGCTTCTGATCTAGCCGATGGGGAAAAAAATCCCTATACTAATTGGGGACACTAACAACACTCTCGATTTTAGTTGGTTCTCCGCGCGCCTATTTGTCACGTTATCTGTTGGTACGCGATCTCGTGGGTGTCTTCTTATAACAATCAAATAACAATGTTTCATAACTGATACCTGTAATTTGACCTCTACGTTATTCACGCCACAGTTACGAAGCTTTAATGGCTCTCTTACAGTACAACATTTTATCAATTTCTAGGTTTTTCAGAATTAACTTAAATATCATCAAGAGTAGTCTTAAAGTTATATGAAGTGTTTGATAAATGAAACAACAAGCTTCATGCTTATGCTAATACAGTCAACTCCCGATAACTCAAACCTTGAAGGAAAATGGAAAAAGGTTCGAGTTATTGAGTTATCGGGAATTTGGGTTTTCGGGAGTTGAAAACAAATAACCGTAAATAAGGAAAACACCATGTTTACTGTATTACTATTCATACAGTGTACGTTTTAATCAAATTTGATTATAGAGAAGTCTATAGTGAAAATGGAGCAATACATTTCTAAATAATATTACGATATAAATCAGAACGTATTAACGTAATGGGAAACGAAAAAGAAAAAAAAAAGAAAAAAGAAAAAAA